TAAAAAATATTAAGATCTCGCTTCTAATGATTTTAACATCAACTAATTATGGCATCCTTAGCAGAAAGATAACGCTGCAGTTGATTATAATGAAATTAAGATTTGGATATACATGGAGCCGTCATTGCTGGAAAAGTGTGACGTCAATATCATGTAATTATATGAATTTTCAGTCCCTTCTCACTAACACTCCTATTCTGTACTTATGGAAACACAAATTTCATATGAAATGAAAAGATACTATTTTTTCTTTCTCTTTCTTTTTCATTTATGCACAAGTCAGTGAGTGATAAAACTCTCTCTATCTATCTTATACTTTCTTTCTGATGTACAATTTTAACAAGCGAGTTCTTTGGGAAATGACAAAATTTGATAACCTAGAATAACTTAAAGAAAACGAAAAAAATGGGTTAAGAAAAGTTTAAAGTATCAACTTTTTAGGGTTTGACATAGAAGATGATTTCAAAGAAAAGAAGATGAGATGATTAGGCATCCAGCTTATTCTCCTGTCATCATCTCCATGAATTCTGAAAAAACAAGAGAAATATGCATTAATTATAGTGTATCAAAATAGTCTGTTATTTCCAATTATTAACAATTTATGAATTCCCTATCTGATGAGGTATGGGAGAGGATAGTTTATAAACAAGGGATCTCATTTTGTATACAGTATATGCACACACACACACACATACACACACACACACATACGCACACACACACACACACATACGTGCGTAAACACATATACAAACAAATACACACACACATAGAAACATACATACATATAAACGGAAATGAATATATACAAACATATATGTATGAATGAATGTTTCTATATAAATATGTATGTGTGTGTATTCAAATCCAAAGACCTAAGCTCCCTGTTGACATGAAACAGAAATGCTGATTAAAGGCTGATTCGAGCGTCAGGCAACAGCAAATGCGAAATCAGTTTATTCCTGAATGCCCGAGTCGAGAAATCCAACTGGATGTATAATGGGTATCTGATTCATCGCATCCTGATGTATTTTTCATTTCGTAATGGAGAGGTTTGTCATATGCTATTGTGTGTGTGTTAGCGTATGCATACATACATACAAACACACACATACACACACACACACACACATATATGTGTATATATATATACATACATATACATATGTATACATATATATATATATATATATATATATATATATATATATATATATATATATATACATATATATATATATATATATATATATATATATATATATATATATATATATATGGAAGAAAAACCCACAATGCACAAACTAGATTTATTGAGGAAAGTGAGACAACAGTTTCGGAATCGTCCTCGATTCCATCTTGGGAATCAAACCCGAAGATGGAATCGAGGACGATTCCGAAACTGTTGTCTCACTTTCCTCAATAAATCTAGTTTGTGCATTGTGGGTTTTCTTCCATATTATCAACACATTGCATATATATATATATATATATATATATATATATATATATATATATATATATATATATATATATATATATAATATATATATATGATACATACGTTTATATACATATATATATGTGTGCGTGTGTGTGTGTGTGTGTTTGTGTGTGTGTGTAGTTTACTTATAATCATAGTTCCGTATAACTATGTATATTCATATGTACACTACTTGCTCACATTTCCCCTCGTCTCCCAACACCCTTCACTCCACACATCACGCAACTGCTTCAACACAAACGGCTCATACACGAATCCCTGTTCGCTCTGCATGGATGGACGTGTGTAGCCCCAATCACCGCTCCCTTGCACGCCACAACATACCATCAAAGTCTACCGTTCCTGAGCCGTCTTCGTCAACCTCGTCGATAATCCCGTCCAGGTCATCTTCTGTCAGCTTGTTGTCGAGCTCTTTCATAATCTCCCTCAGGGTCTGTGTCGTGATGTAGCCGTTTCCTGCGGGAGAGAGGGAGGAGAGGGGAGTGAGAGTTGGTGTGTGGATATGTGAGAGGGAAAGGGAGGGAGAGAGAAGGAGAGGGAGAAGAGGGTGTGAGAATTGGTGTGGGGATATGTGAGAGGGAGCAGAGGGCGTGGGAGTTCGCGTGTGGATATTGGAGAGGGAAGGGAGGGAGAGAGAAGGATTGGGAGGAAAGTAGAAGGAGAGGGAGGAGGAAGTGGGAGTTGGTTTATGGATATATGAGAGTGAAAGGAGGAATAGGGGGAAGGAGAGAGAAATAATAGGAGGAAAAGTAAAAGAAGAGGGCATGAAAACCGGTGTTTTTGGATGTGTGAGAGCGAAGGGAGGAATAAGGGAGGGAGACAGAAGGATTGTGAGGAAAGCAGACGTAGAAGGAGAAGAAGGATTGGGAGTTGGTTTGTGGATGTGTGACAGTGAATAGAAGGAGAGAGAAGGAGAGGAAGGGAAAACAGAGGGAGAGAGAGGAGGAGTCGTGAGATACGTTGAACGTGTAGAGAGAACTTCAGGGAAGGAGAGTAAAATATTAGGAAGAAACTGACAAAGAAACACATAGAAAGAAAAATAAAAGAGAAGGCACGAGGAAGGAATCGCGAAAAAAAACATTAGGAAAAAGAGAGACAAAGAAAGAGAAATTGGGACACAAAAAGATAAGAATAAAAGTTGAACGGAGAAGGGGAAGAGAAAGGGGGAAACAGAGACGAGAAGTGAACTGCAAGGAAAGAGTAAAAGAAAAGGGAATGAAATACGAAGGAAAGGGGCAGAAAGAAGGGAGAAGGGAGAAAGGGGAGAGGGGAGTTATAGGGAGAGAGAGAAAAACACGAATACAGAGACCTTTGAGATATGAAATGAAAGATTCATTTTGTAAATCATATCAATGTAAAATTCTATTGGCATTTATTGTTTACTGAATTTAATTACTCTGCGTTTGAATCATCTGTGAAAATCACTGCTCGGGGAAAAGCAAATTACGAATTCCTTTTTGAGGATCATCATGCTTCATGATAATAATGATAATAATAATTATAATAAAATAATAATAATTATTATTATTATTATTATTGTGATAATGATAATAATATTTGTGATAATAATGATTAAACATTGATTATAATGATAATAATGATGATGATAATGACAATGATGAAAATAAGAACTTGAACAACAAAAACAACAGTAATGATAATAATAATGCTAACAATAATAATAATGATAATAACAATGAGGATAATAATAATGACTATAATGATAATAATAACAGTATTGATAATAATAACAATTATAACAATAATGATGATAATTAAAATAGTAATTACCTTTGTTATCATTGATCTTAGTAGTAGTAGTAGTAATTGAATAGCTATTAACTATTATAATAATCATGATAATACTGATGATGATAATAATAATGATGATAGTTATTAATTCTATCATCATTATCATTATTATCACTATTAGTATCAGTATCATAATTATTATTATCGTAATAGTAATAATGATATAATGATAATGATGATAGAAATAATAATAAAATTAATAATAATAACAGCAATAACAATAGTAACAATGATAATGATAATGATATCAATAATAATGATAATGATCGTGATATTAATAATAATCATCATAATCATCATCATCATCATCATTATCATCATCATAATCTTAATGATAATTATAATAATAACGATAATATCAGTAACAATAATAATTATTATTTGTATTATCATCATTATTACTATTATCATTATTATCATTATTATTATTATTATAATTATTATTATCATTATTATTATCGCTATTAGTAGTAATATTGCCCTCATCATTACCATCATTTTTATCAATATTACAGCAATGAGGAGAGTTTAAACAACAGTAAGAGAACGTAGTTATAGAAAAAAAAATCACAAGAAAACGAAGAAGAAAATACAAAAGGGAAAAAAACGGAAAAAGAGCGAGAAATTAGAATAATTCACCGGATTCAATAGACAGACAATTGAACAGCAGAATGCGCATTGGGAAGAAGCGAGGCAGAAAGTTTCATCAAAGAACTGCTTTCCTTGAAGGTTTAAAAGGCTGTAAACAGGAGAAGAAAGAGAGTGCTGGCGTCACAATGGCGTTTCTGGAAGATCGTATACGCTCGGAGTGATCTTAAAGAGAAGAGAGGGAATGGGACAATAAATGGTAGAGAATGGTAATTATCACGATTATTTGGTTGTTGTTATTGTTGTTATTAGCGTCACTATTGTTGATGTTCTAATCATCATTGGTGTTATCGTTGAATGTTATGATGCGATTCGGTGTGATTATCCCCAATATCATCAGTTCCACCATTAGAATGATGATAATCATTGCGATTAGTTTTGCCTAATGATCCCCTTTATCATTATTGTTGTTATCTGCAGCTATCATTAATGGCTTTGTCCGATCGATGTCAATACCTTCATCATTACAATTCTTGTTCTCATCATAATTATTGTGGAATATATAATTATACCATGTTGCTATATGAACATGTTTAATGCTACTCAAGGCGCAAGCGTCCTTAGTGGACGCCGAGACAAGATACGCCACTATTGAGTTGGAAATGTTGGCAGTCAGCTGGGCCCTTCACAAATGCCGCCTTCCTTACCAGGGCTCCCATCATTCATGATCCATACTGACCACCGTCCACTTGTACCTATGTTGAACTCGTACACCTTGGGTATGATTGCGAAACCACGACTTCAGAGACTACGGGAGCGCATGCCCTACTTCACCTTCAAAGCAGCAAGGCGTGCTGGAGAGTCGCTACGCACACCAGATGCCTTCTCACGCGCCCCAGTAAGGCGCCCTACTCATGAAGAAGCACTGGGAAGCACTTCTTTGTAATTGTGGACCGATTATCGAACTGGCCTGTTATCGTCCCTTGCAAGAGTGATACCACAGCCTCTTCCACGATACGATACTTCTGTACCTTCGTCAGAGAGGTGGTGGTACCCCATCCCCTGCGTACCGATGGAGGACCACCCTTTACCAGCAGTGGGTGCGCCGATTTCACACGAAGATGGGGAATCCAGCACAGCACGTCATCGCCCCACTACCTGCAGTCAAATGATCACGCTGAGGCTGCTGTTAAGGCCGCAAAGCACCTCATCCTCTCTGCGGCACCTTCAGGGAGCATCAAATGTGATATTATATGGTCCCTGTATGTTTGTTCACAATGTGCACACTTTGGAGACATTTATAGGGCCTTTTGTAATATTATCATTTACTATTTATTGTACCTGTGGAGTTAAGCATATCATTTTACAATGTTGTACACTTTATATGTATTCACCTATATATATATGCATGTAGTAAGGGGAATCCACGTATATATGTAATGTTCAAGTCGTTCGAAGCTATCAAACGCAAAGGGAGGTGTGGATTTTATAATTACACCATGCTGCTATGTGATTACATTCAATGTTACTCAGTGGACAAGCGTTCCACTCATATCACGTGACCTGGTCAGCTGGGCCTCTTCAAGCCTGCGCATGACGAGCGGTTGCGTCCCTTCTCTCCCTGCTCATCGAGGCCGCAGCACGTGCCTTGACGCGCTCTTTCATATCCTAATCCTGGGTAAAAAAGAGCCTCAGCAAGAGAGAACACTCCTTTCCTTTAAGCCTTACACGTGACCACTTTGCACAGACAAGCACACTCTAGGTGAATAAAATATTATTATGGTAAATATCATAATGATATCATATAATCAGTATTCCTTATTAATGTAACAAACTATGATTAATGTAGTATCATTGTTATATGTACGCATGTATACATCATACATATGTACATGGATAAATACATACATAAAATACTCCCAGTATATATAAAAGTATCCATGCACCCATGCATGTATAAGCATATAAATTGCAAACATATATACCTACACATATATGTGTAAGTACATACACACATACACACGGACACAGATAAATATACACATAAAATGGTGTATCCTTTCCAGTATGTATGTATGTATATACATACATATATACAGACATACCCACATGCATGTAATGCATACATACATACATAAATACATACCATGTACATAAACAAACTCGTACATACATGCATACCATGTATACATACACACATACATGCATGCATGTATACATACATACACACATGAATAAGTCCATACATGCCTCCATACCTATATACATACATACATGCATACATTACAGATACACACATGTATACTTACATACATACATGCATCCCCTTATCTCTTCAAACGAAACCCAAGTATATCACGTTATAATGCACACCCCTTTTAATTAAAAATACAAACAGGTTCCATAAACATATAGAGACAGTCTTAAAATAGAACCAAAGCGAAAGTTTTCTTTTCATCTTACAAAATACTGCTGACGTCATTTCAAGGTCAAAGATGGGAAAACATATTTTTTCTTGGAATGGAAAAATTTGTATAATCATCAAAGGTGTGAATTTCTCATTAAACATGGCTTTCATAAAGTGCAATTTTGTAGCTGTATTATATTTGATATTGGTGTCTTGATTTTAATATTTTCTCGTTTTTTGTCAATTTTGGTGTTATCATTAGCGGTTGTAGGGTTAAGAACGTCTCCTTTATTGCTGTTGGTATCATTATCTTCATTAACGTAATCATGGCAATTTCACATTTACTCTGCTAATATTTTAGTATAGAATTATTGGTATTAGTATCATGTTATTGCAAGTATCGTCCTCATTGTTTTTATTACAACTCTCATTATCATCAATAATCTAATGTTATCATTGTTATCATTATTATTATTATTATTGCTATTATGATCATTATCAATATCATTATCATTAGTAGTAGTGTTACTATTATGATCATTATCATTATTATTATTATTATTATTATTATTATTATTACTATTATGATCACCATCATTATCATTATTATTACCATCAGTATCATTATTACTATTATGATCATTATCATTATTATTATCATCATCATTATTATTACTATGATTGTCTTTATTATCATCAATGCCATTATCATCACCATTGCCATCAACATGGCCATCAATATCATTATCATTAACCACTACGATAATTTAATTTACCACTGTTCCTAGCTATAATAGTTATTCCATATGCACGTTATTCTTGTTATTGTTAAATGTTGTCTTGCTGTACTTCTTCTGTCCATGACTCCTTACATTTCTTTAAGATATTCAAAAATTATCAGTAGACGGTTTTTTCATACTGATTCAATGTGGAAAAAATATTAATAGAAAGTGTCTGTGGTTCACTGTTGCAAATACGTGTATCTTTATCTTTTGAAATTCTATCATTGAAATGTCTGATGTAAGTAAGAATACAATGCAACAACAACAACAACAAAAACACATATGCGACTACTGCTGCCCTGGTTCTAGATACAAAGGAGCAACAAGCGCATTTTTTTCTTACTACACTTACACCATACAGTATGACGTAATTAAACATTTCCACGACCAAAAAATCTCCCTTCACA